ATTTCTTCGTAGTTAAAAGACTGTAAGCTGTATATCTCCCCACTGGCCGAATTAACGTTTATTACATTAGAAAGTGGAACTCTGGCTAAAGAGCCTTCAATGAGCGAGTAAGAAACTCGGGCGTTTTCGTTCTCATCCGGATCAGCCGCAGACACGGTATATATAACGGTGCCGATCTGATTGTTCTCTTTTGCATAGATATTTATTATCGGCTGTGCGAAACGCGGCGCATTGTCGTTCACATCAGAAACGTGCACGGTAATGACGCTGGTGCTGGACAGAGGCGGGGTTCCCTCATCTGTAGCTCTGATGGTGACGTTGTATTGAGGAGCGCTTTCCCTGTCTAGCGGTCCAGCAACGACGAGCGAATAATAGTTTTTAATAGAAGTCTGCAGTTTAAAAGGAAAATTGCCAACTACATCGCAATTCACCCTTCCATTTTCTCCTCCATCTTTATCAGACACTGTAATCAGCACCACAGCTGTTCCGTTAGTTGCGTCTTCCCTCAAACTTTTCATTAATGGAGTGATTGCTATTTCAGGGCGATTGTCATTCATGTCAATTACTTCAATCAGCACTTTACATTGCGTACTGCGCGGATGGAAACCTTGATCAGTAGCTTCTACACGGATTTCAAAATTAGGATTTTCTTCGTAGTCAATATTTCCTTTTACGGTTATTTCACCTGTATTTGGATTAATGCCAAAAATGTTAAGCTTCACGATTTTTTGATTAAGTAAAGAGTAAATTACTTGACCATTAGGACCCTCATCTGAATCGGTCGCCTTCAGTGTTATGACCGGCGTCCCGGATGGAACATTTTCTTTCATTTTAACCTTATACAGTGGCCTGCTAAATTCTGGGGTGTTGTCGTTCACATCCATCACGTTCACGGTGATCTGCAGGGTTCCCGACCTGGGAGGTTTCCCTCCGTCAACAGCAGTAACTACTAGAGGTATCACTGCCTGTTTCTCTCGGTCTAGTGCTTTCTGAAGCACTAACTGAGCAGATTGTATCTGCTCTCCTTCGCTTTGTACATCAAGGCCAAAGTGTTCATTCTGATTCAGCTTGTACGCTTTAACAGAGTTACTGCCCATATCAGGATCTTCTGCCGTAAGAATGGAGAATTTGTCCCCTGGATTAGCAAATTCGCTTACGTTCAACTCTATCTTGTTCCGTGAAAAAAACGGTGCGTTATCATTTACGTCTAAGACATTAATCTCTACGCGGTAAAGATTTAAAGGATTGTGAATAATGGCTTCTAAAAATAAAGTACATTTCTGAGCACTCGGACACAGCTCTTCTCGGTCGATTCTCTCATTCACAAACAATACGCCACTTTTCAGATTTACCTCAAAATATTTCCTGCTGGATCCCGACACAATCTGAAACGTCCTCGATTCCAGTTCATTGATATTAAGACCCAGATCCTTCGCTATATTTCCAACCACGGTTCCCTTGTTCACCTCCTCTGACACGGAGTATACAATCTGCCCAGAGGATGAATCCCACAAACAAAGCAATATTAGCAACCATATCTTGACATCTTTCACACGATCAAAATCCTCCATTGCTATTTTCCTCCAGTCCGATGACTTCAGCTGGCATATTATACCATACAGATATCCTATATACTTTAATTTCAGGATAGAACAAATGACGGCTGCGGAGGAAGCCCGCAGTAGTTCCCTGACACGCTACTCTACAGTCCCTCCTTTCAGCAGGGATCGGTCTGTTCTCCATGATATTTGAAGGTGGGGCCCAGACAGGCGAGATTAAAGTATATAAATGCGCGGTCAACAGCGACACCATGTGTTGCCTCTGAATAACTGGTTTTAACACAAATTGCTTGTCCGTCAATACATCTCTCAACCACTTTGGTCAGGCTTTTGCAAGATGATTGATCATTGTATACTGAATCAAAATATAACTTTAAAATAAAAGAGCTAACAATTATTCTATTGCCAAATAATTACAAAATGGATAGTAGGCTGTATTGCTGATGCGCCATTCCAAAATATTATAAGCTTAATTGTAAATATTTATAAATGCAAGCCAATTACCCAGAAACCACATCATTGTAGAAAATGAGGCAAAAGGTTAGACTTTCTATTTATGTATTAATATTTATTACATTAAATTAAACGTTATGTATGAAGGTTACCTTATATTTACTACCAAAACTTACGTGACAGTGGGCATGATATGTCTCAATAGAATACTAAATATGTCAGTCATGTTTATTAAAAGTTACATTTAAAATGCATTCCAGTGCATTTACTAATATCACGTTATAAATGTAGTCAGTGACCTAACCAAGATTTAAAATGTTTAGCTAAGTAACAGAACCTCACTATATTCCATTACTGCTGGATCAACTCCATGCCAAATTTGAACACAAACACAAAAGAAAAAAATCCATAAGTTGAGTTTTATTTCTGAGCATATTTTGTATGACAACAGGACAATGTAAGATAACCACAGAAAAGCAAAAGGAGGCACAGATCAAACATTTTGACATCTTAGTACATGATTAAGAGTGCGCTTAGTATTGTTTTAATAATACCAATGCTGTACAGAACTTTGAAAACCCTTAAATTGCATAAATCTACACTATAGGCTACTTCATGTGTCTTTAATAACCGACTAGGACATTATCGCTATTTAATGCCGTTCTTTCCCGAAGTCGATTCTCACCAGACAAGTTCGAATTCCGCGTTTGGGTTTTCACTGCGTAATGGTGCCTTAGAACATATTTCAGGGCCAAACTTTTCTTTGGCAATAAGCCTTGCTTCGTAATTTTGTTGTTTCATTTCCATTTAGGAATATTTTTTCCCCAGTCTTTCATGGGCTCTTACCTTCCACAATGAAATTTCACAGGTTTATGATTAAATTCTTTTATGAATGAATATAATTGCCAGTTTCATTAATTTATCACTGGGTGAAAAACAATGTTATGCAGGCCAATGTTTCTTATTACTGATTCGACAGAAACACAGCTTGCTAATTAGCTAGCTAATTTATCCAGGCTAACTAGCTAGCTACCTCTTGTCAATTTTTAGAATAATGTTTTCTTTTCCGAATGCTTTGTTTTTAAAAATAAAAGAAAGCAGTCGCTGTCCATTTCTGTGGTGCTGAATCAAGCTGAGATTCAATACGGCTACCGAAACAACACCTCAGACTTACTCAACCACTCTCTTCTAATACTGGAGACGAGCAGGATATACAAAGTGAATATTTCACTGTACAAATGACAACAGCTCAAATTAAGTTATGGAAATTTACTACTACCCAAAACAGAGGCTATAAAATGATCAACAAAGGAACACGAAATGCAAAATATACAAGGCACTAGTCAGAAAACAGCTGTCTTACCTTCTCACTGTTGGGCAATGTCTGGGTCCGTTTCAAAGAATCAGCCCCATTAATA